GGCGAAGGCGGCCCTAGCAACGCGGGCGTGGAGCGGGCGGGGTCGTGGGCGGGGCGGAGGGCGGGGCGACATGGTGAGTGGTTCCCGGGAAGGAGGGGAGCTTGGGCCTGTGAGGTGGAGCCTCTGCTTCCCGCGGTGCTCCGCAGCAGTCGCCGAGGCGTCCTTCCTGTGGCTCGCTCTGGGCGGCCCGCAATCCCTCCCTTGGGCCGCCGCGCCGCCACCTCTAGAGGCGAGGGCGTGAGCGGCCGCGGGAGCCGTGAGGCCCGCTCGGCGGCTGCAGCTACGTGAGGCCCGAGGCTTCCGAACAGTGCGGGCCCAGGGCTCCTGGGTTCAGAGCTGGAGGCTAGGGCCCCGGCGCGGCCGCCGCCCGAGGCTAGCCCGAGGCCCCGCTCGCCGGCAGAAAACCGCACCTCGCGGACCCTGCCAGTTGGCCCACGGTCGCAGTCGCCTGGACCGCGTGGCCGTTCGCCCCTCCGCCGCTGTACACGGCAGCACGGGGAGGAGACGGGAGCGGCTCTTGTTCCGGGGGCCGGCCCCCCGCCCCGTGCTAGGAAAGGGGCCTAGGTGAAGGTCACTCCTCCTCCTTGGCGAGTGCCCCTCGGATACCCCGCGGGGCGACAGTCTACCACCGCCACTGCCCGATCCACCTTCTCTCCTTTGCTCCTTCCCTTCTCAAAAGGCACTAATTTTAAGGAAAAAAATCTAAGTGATTAAAAAAAAAAAAACAGAACCAGGCTTTCCACCAAGTGCTTAATAACCCAAAGCACAAATTTAGCGAAGGGGCAACTTTATAACAGCAGGAAATAGGGTCCTTCAATAAGTTCATTTATCAGATTCAACTCTGCTTCCGTTATTCTAGGCATGTAGTTTGTCTTTCACCCACGTGTGTATTTATTACAGGCGACTGACCAACACACAAGTTCAGAGAAAAGAGCAGCAAAAATTGAATTGAATGAAATGCAAAAGCAAGAAATTAAAGAGGCCTTTGACTTATTCGATGCTGATGGCTCTGGGACCATAGATGTGAAAGAATTGAAGGTCCTGAAATAATTTCCAATTCTAACACACTTCAAATGCCATGTTTGTGGGAATAGTCAAACTTTTAACGGTAGTCTTTGGGAAGCTTCAGAGTGTTGACAAACAATATCTTGTTAACATTTAAATCATGTTCTATACATGAGCAAGCCAAGCCCAGGGTGTACAGTACACTCTAGCACAGCTGGGTTGGAACCTGGGACTGCTGACCTCATTTCTAGGTTAATGCTCAGTCCCTGTTAAAAAAGAGAAGCCTGGGCTGGAGTTGTGGCTCAGTGGTAGAGGGCTTGTCTAGCCTGTGAGAGGCACTGGGTTTGAGACTCAGCACAGCATACAAATAAATGAATAAAGGTCCATCGACATCTAAAAAATTTTTTTAAAAATAGAAGCTGTTGATTAATGAATATTTAATCAGAATGATATCTTGGCATATTAACAATTTTTTCTTCCTATTCTAGATTGCATTGCGGGCCTTAGGATTTGAACCAAAGAAAGAAGAAGTTAAACAAATGATAGCTGAAATGGACAAAGAAGGAATTGGCACCATTAGTTTTGAAAATTTTTTTGCCATTATAAGTGTAAAAATGGTATAGTCATGATTTTGTTTTTTTTTTTCAGAGAAGCACAATCAGTAGTTTTCCAAATTTCAGGGAGGGCTGAAACAGGTTTCATAGAAGAATTTGAGTCTAGACGTTTCAGATTGGGTGGGACGCAGATAGACAGAAATTGCAAGATTAAAACATTCTCAGTTTGGTAATGGAGACTGTTGTGGAGAATGAGGTTTGTCAGGAAATAATGAGGACATATGTCAGGATGGACAGAATGGAGCTAGAATTTAAAAACTTGCACTTGGCAAGCATGTTGAGGGCCTGTATTTGCAGGCCTTGTTCTGCAGAGCCTTGAAGGAGCTCTGCGGAGCCTATATCTTTGGAATGGACCTGAATGATAAGGGCCAGTATAGGGTGCATTTTCCTGCCTCACTGTGTTCTGCACCTCAGTTCCTTGAGGGCAAGTGTGAGGGCACTGGGTGGTTAACAGTGCAGCAGTCAGCTCAGCTCAGCTGCCCAGTACACTGGAGCGCTAGTGCTCAGAGACCTGAGAAGATCTGTTTTTAGAATATTTATTTATTCTAGCAGTGTCATCAAAGACAAGTGCCAGTTATTTCATATTTTTAAAGGGTGAGAAAGATGAAAAAGAAGAAATATTGAAGGCTTTCAAATTATTTGATGATGATGATACTGGGAGGATAACACTAAGTAATATCAGGAGAGCCGCCAAGGAGCTCGGGGAGAATTTAACAGATGATGAACTGCAGGTAAATCTTGCTTGTTTTTATAATTTATGTGTAATTACAACTTTTGTATAAAATGTTATATTCTAACTTTAGTTGTACATTAAAAGTAAAATTTGATTTCGAGCATGTAATTGAACATTCATTTCTGTCATTCATTTTAGTAGATTTTATATATCATTTTTTGTTTTGTTTTATAGGAAATGCTTGATGAAGCTGATTATGATGGGGATGGAGAAATAAATGAGGAAGAATTTTTGAAAATGATGAAGAAGACTGCTCTTTAATACTATTCTTTTCTGTCCCATTTGTTATATGATTCAATAATGTAAGATCTGAATGGATTCATTTTCAATTTTTAGTTTGTCTACACAGATTGGTCTCTTGGTGTCTGTGTGAAAAGTTGTATTTCTACCAATATTGTTATATTTGCCATACAAAGAAACAAAACATGAGAGCTTCCTTGAGCCAAGAATGTAAGAGCAGTGTTAATTCCAACTGCTTTTTTTAAGTGGGTTCCACAGACTTAGAATTTTATTGAAGTTTATTGCAGTTGGCCCCACATCCAAATGAATCTGGCAAACAAACCATTATTATTGCGTGACTAAAAAAGCAGATTAGCATTGTCTTTTTAATCACTTCTTCAAATATGTAAAAAATAAAACTGGTTGGCAACTAAGTTGTTTGCTAAATTTTCTTCTTACAGTTATTGCTATGGTATGAATGTGGCCCATCCAAAATCTCAGATGTTGTCACTGTGGGGCCTGGGAGAGCTGAGCAGGCCCTGAGGACCCACCTTCCTGAAGGGGGTTACGGGCTGTCCCGGGTGCACACAGCTAGGGCTCTTACCAAGCCAAATACTGGTGCCTCCATGTGGGACCTCCCAGCTCCAAAACCCTGAGCAAGAAACCTCTGTTCCCCTTTGGGCTCCTTGCTCGCCCTGGGCGGTAGCATGGCCAGCAGCGGCCCCGTCAGGGCGTCACACCGGCACAGGGCCCTAGGGGTGTGTGAGAAGCCCATGCAGGTGTCCTGTGGACACTCATTTCTCTGCATGCCTACAGGAAAGTCTGAAGCCCAAGAAACCTGTCTTGGGGGTGTGCTGCAGTGCTCTGGTACCTGGGGCCCCAAGCTGTGCAGAACCAGAGGCAGATTGAGAGCACAGAGCCTTCTTGCCAAGGCTGCCTAAGAATGTCTGCCTTCCTGTTTGTAGTGGCTATCAATCATTATTCGGAGGCAGGTTGTCTTTAAATGCAAGCGAATATCCGATCACACCAATCGAGTGACGAGCTTGAGATGCTCAGGTGCTGCAGCTCCATCACCATCCATGAGCGGAGTTGCTGCCTCTGCCTTGTTCTTCCATCTGTGGAGCATGCGACCTCTGCCTCCCACATCAGCACCGTGCAACAGACCTGGGAGCGAGCCAGGGCGTTGGGACAGATCACCTCTGATGGGAAATGGGTCCCCAAGTCAGTGCCCTCTGTTTTGTGGGCTCTCACCAAAGCTATCTTCCCCACTGTTAACTTTGTTTTGTCACCTGGTTTAGTCACATTGGTCCTCATTTACTTCCTGGAGCTTCAAGCGCCTCTCCTGGAGGAAAACTCATCTTCCTCATCTGCGCGTGTTCTTGTTTCACACTGTTCCTCCCATCCAGTTTTCATCTCAGATCCTCCCCAGGACCTTTTCTGGGTCACACATAACAATGAAATGAGCGTTTCTTTTCCTTGTCCTGAGGTGTATGAACTCCGGTGACAGTGCAGCCGATTAGAGCTGAAAATCCTCTGCAGTGGAGCTGCTTGTCCATGCGGTGGGCAGTGGCTGCTGGCAGCTGCAGTGTGCACCCGGGAAACATTTCAGGAACCCTCTTGGGGTGAACATTGTGGGTTTTGCATGATTTGATGCTGGAAGTTTTATTGGTGATACTCCTGCAACCCTTAGAATTGGCTGGTTCAGTCTTAAATGCCTGCATGGTGTCTTTTTAGGATAAAGGATAACCATGTATTTCTAGTGGGGGAAAATTAAACAGTATTTTTCTGTAAGTGGGGGAGAGGGTCAGCTAAAATAGTGGGAGGGCCAAAGCTTTTTGGTTCCGGTTTTCAAGCTAACAATGTGTTTTCAGATGACTGGGTCACATTTACCTTTCTCTCTGGGAGCTTGCATACATTCTTATCCTGAAGCATGAAAAGGAGTCCTCAAATGATTGAAAAGAAGAAGGTGGGGGCTCTGAAGGCTACTAGTTCTTTTATCTTTTATTTGGTAACTTAAATTAACCAGCATTATTTTACTGTGACCCATAGTTTCTTTATGACACTTGTTTCAACATCCAAACGGCTGTTTTAAAACCCTGGCTTTCAACTCCTAGAGAGGCTGTGTGTGCTGTGCCCTGTTGTCTCTTCCAACAAGCACACTGTCTGCATAGCACAGCACGCCCTCTGATGAGCTGTGTACTGGGAACGCAGTTCAGGAGCAGTTCAAGAATCGTGAACATATTTCATGAATATTACTTCCAAGGCTAAGAGCTGCCAGCCTAATGTATAGGAGCAGAATCTCCGATGGACCAAGGGCTTATAGATTTGGTTCATTCTTTCATGTCACGCATCTCTAGTTTGAATATGGCAGTTTTTTCCTGGTCGGTGGCCGAGGTTGCAAGTGGCTTTGGACCTGTACCCTACTGCTGTGAGCTCTTCCCACCCACCATGGAAGAGCTAACTGCAGTTGCCTATAACCACCAAAGACAGGGTCTATTTGGGGCAATGTAGTTTTTTCCTAATGTGTTCTTTCTTGGGAGGACATACCTGTTAAAATCAGCTTCTTCACTGTAATTTCTGAGAAAAGTTCACTCAGACCTCCCTGAATTGAGAGAAGTCTGGAGGGAAGTTTGAGAAAACCTTCCTTGGAGAGGATTGGAAGAGCACGTACATCTCACTGGAGGAACCAAGAAACTAATTTCCATACGTTAAGTGCACTTTATGTATTTCTAATAAGAGGACTTTCCAGAAAGTGAAATTTTAAAAGGTGAAATATAAATAAATTTCATAATTATATAAAAAAGTCTGTTCCTCATAAATTACCCCACCTGTGTGGCACAGTGGCACATGCCTATCATCCCAGCTACTCAAGAGGCTGAGGCAAGTTCAAGGCTATCTGGGGCAATTTAGTAAAATCCTGCCTCAAAATTTAAACTAACAGGGGCTGGGGTTGGGTGGGGCTGTGGCTCAGTGGCAGAGTGCTGGCCTAGCATGTGTGAGGCACTGGGTTCGATTTTCAGCACTGTATATAAATGAATAAAACCAAGGTCCATCAACAACTAAAAAAGGGGGTGTGTGTGCTGGGATGTACTGGTACAGTGCACTGGGTTTAACCTCCAATATTAAGAATAAATAAATAACCCCGTCTGTTGTATTTTGTTATAGAGCAAAAATAGTCCAAAATAGGCACAGATACCATGAAAACAGGGGTCAAGGGGAGCCATTTTGGAAACTGCTTAGCACATGAACTAAATCTTTGGCTTAGCTTTTACCAGCCAACTGATTAAAAGTTCTATGGGGCTGGGGTTGTGGCTCAGTGGTAGAATGCCACCTAGCATGTGTGAGGTGCTGGGTATGGTCCTCAGCACCACATTGAAAAAAAATTTTAAAAATAAAGGTATTGAAAAAAAATTAAAAAACAACTCTTATCTAAACCATACAGGATAAGATAAAAGATCCTGTATGGTTTATATAAGAGTTGTTTCCCAAAAGCTTATGTGTGAAACAATGCAAGAAAACTTAAGAGGTGCTGGGCATGGTGGCACACACCTGTGATCCCAGCAGCTCAGAAGGCCAAGGCAGGAGGATCACATAGTCAAAGCCAGTGTCACCTACTTAGCAAGACCCAGTCTCAAAAAATGAAAAGGGCTGGGGATGTGGCACAGTGGTTAAGCACCCCTGGGCTCAATATCTGGTACCAAAAGGAAAAAAAGAAAAAGAAAAGAAAGAAAGAAAGAAAACGTCCACGAGAAGACTTGGGACTTGGACAAGAAGGAGTCTTTAAATTAGAACTCTTTGAACTTGCCCTTGCCCATGTGGATTTCTATGCACCATTGTTAATAATTGAGGGATAAATTTTTCACATATAAAGCATTAGGTACATTTTTGTTTGGTCTAGAAGGAAATGCAATACAATTAGGACTTAAAGATAACGTGAAACACTTAAGAATGTTTATGTGCATAAGCAATGAGAGCTTTCATAAAGGAAACATGTTGACAAAAGAGAAACCTTCAGTTTTCATTTCAGTTGATTTAAAAGTGATCCAGGTGGTGTCGCTAATGTTACATTTTCCACAGGCTTAACTTGTTCCAAAGGTGAATGCATTGTTTCAGGAACAGTTTGTGCTAGACAAGTGGCATTGCTGGCCTGTTGCAGAAGCAGGAGCCTGAGCCCTCCCGCCCAGGGCATCTGGGTTTCAGGCGCCATGGAGAGCACAGTGCATCCAGCCCTTCCCCTTCACTCAGTGGGGAAGAAACAGAGCAGCCACAGGAGGTGCCAGTGCCCCTGACTGGCAGGTCTCTCCAGGCAGCCGCTGGGTGACTGGCTTGCACACACCCCTCTTGTGCTAGAGTGGGAGGGCCTTGTCCCCTGCACACCAGGACCAGATGGAGCAGTGGGGATGGTCATAGGCCAGTTCTGCAAGTGGCTCAACAGAACAAGGAAAATCCCTCCCGTCTGTCCTAGCACAAAGGCCACAGACAGGTGCCCACACAAGGGACCAAACTCAGAGGGAAACTCGGGTGACAGCACATACTCTTTTTGTGCCACCTTTCATGCCACATTGTGACCCAAGTTCTCTGATCCTCTTCTGATCCTGAGGCCAACAAGTAAATTTTTTTAAAAATCTTTTTTGTTGCTTAAATAAACTCAGATAAATTAAACTTGTCTAAGGGTTTTTCTTTTAACCAGTAATTATGGGATAGAAACTAAAAGTTTATTAAATGTCATGTAATTACAAATCTATGATATTTATTTTTAGGACCTATTCACATCTTAAAGAAATCGATATGATTTAAAATAAAATGGATCTCTTATTTTGTGAAGCATATTATACTTTTTGAGATTTTGCCTTTAAAACAGATAACAAAAAATTGAATAAAAATGAAAATAAACATGTCATGTTTGGCATACATACATATATAAAAAGCTTAAGGAGGGCTGGAGTTGTGGCTCAGCGGTAGAGCGCTCGTCTAGCATGTGAGAGGCCCTGGGTTTGATCCTCAACACCACATAAAAATAAAATAAAGGTACTGTGTCCATCCACAACTGAAATAAAATATTTTTTAAAAAAGGCTTCATATTTGTGCGATGATCTAACCCAAATTATTCCTAAGATAGAGATCATACTATTTGTTCTTACAAAATTTGAGGGAAAAAGTGGCATTAAATTATAAAGTGCTTGAAAAAAAGTGTTGACAATGGTTTTGTGGTTAAGTCCCTCTTCCTTATTTGGGCCCAGAGAGCGCAGCATTTCTGCCTGGGAGGTGGCCCTGGTAGAAGTGAAGCAGAGAGTTCTGTGCGTGGAGGTCGCAGCGAGCGGCAGGTGCAGGTGCAGGAGGAGCCGGGCCTCC